TTTTTATTTATGGACGTACCCACACGCAGTTATATACAATATCATGGAAATGTACACAGCACTTTTACGAAATCTATACTACACACACGCACACACGCACTCAGGTACACACACACAGGCACAAACTCGCACACACACACACACACACACGCACACACATATATGTATCTTAATTGATGATACTTTGTGCATGATTCGAATTGCATTGAAGATGAGCTTACATACGTAATTGTAACGTATATTTTATTTAATATCTATTTTAAATATAACCATACGAAAATAAACAAAAATTAATAACACCATTTTTCCACCAGCCCGTCACTATCAACAGTTTCGATCATTTGAATCGCAATTTATTTTATCAGTTTGTTCATCATCATCTTTATTTTCATAACCATTAATTAAAACATCACCTCTTGCATTATCATCGACCCCCGGCCACACTCATGTTACCACAGTCGTTTCATCCTCATCAGCCTCATTGAAGCCTCCCACATCATCATTCTCATCAACATCGGATGTTATTGTCTTCCTGCCATTCGTTTATGACCATTCAAATATTTTTTTTAATTCATTGTAATACAGCTCTGCCAAACGCGTGTTACTCTGTACCTAAAATCTAACAAGGACTCTACACAGAAGTAAAATATTCGAAGTTGGTTTGAAACTACAAGAAACATTACACAATGTTGGAGGATAATGAATCAACATTGACGACATAAAATGCTGGTTGATGGTAGGTGTGGAAATTATGAATGAACTGGATGAAGACGATTATGATGATAATTAAGTTTGCAAGTCTAACCAGCATGTGAAAAGGTAACTGTTGTTTGAATCTACTGCAACAAATGGGTTGCTTTCTTGGTTGCTACGTAACATTTAGCAGAGCTCTATTTGATGCATGAATTTTAATTTGATAAGACGATCCTCGCTAAATGTTTGCGAATTTAAATTCTGTAAACATTTCAATTGCACTTACTAACATTGCACCTGTTTGTTAATACTGTATGAATTTTTATTATGATGAAAAACCATGATGATTTGCAGCATCATCATCTTTTTTCCCATCATCATGGTGATATGCACCATCATCGTCATCATCCGCCATATCATCATCACGGTGATTTGCATCATCAACTTCCTCTTCCTCTTCTTCCTCATCATCCTCATCCCTACAAACCACATTCTTGATATTTGTGATAACTTCTCTCGCCATTTATTATACACTTCCGGTCGTTCTGTAAACGTGTTGGGCCATCCATCATGAGGTGCAGTCGTATGTCAGACACCCACGAACTTCAGTTACATTCGCCAATCTATAATAAATGGAAAACTGATTTTTTTTATCTTGCAAGCTAGGGAAACAATTTTTTTTATGAAAGAATAACAAAAACAAGCGAGAGATGGAAACGTTGTGAAATAGAAAACCAAACTAATAATAATAATAATAATAATAAAATATCTTATCAATTATTTAAAGTTTGGAAGCATATGATCAAAACCGAGCAGTGTCCAAGGCAGTTTAAGGTATTAAAAAAATTATTAAACATATGGATGTGAATGAGTTTTTCACATTTTCAAACCATCCGTCTATTGAAACGTGAAATATATAACCAGCTGATAAATGGAAATAAACTAAATTTAACTTTTCAACAACAAATTTGTGTAATTAATAAAAAAAAATTTGTCTTACTACTCATGTTAAATGTTGATATGTTATCTTATGGTAACGATGAATACTTGTAGCTGCATAGTGTACAGTACAATGCATGCACCTGAAAGAATCGTAGGTGGCCAACCAAAGATGCATCCATGGAGAGTAACTGGAAACATTTTTAAAGATCCATGCAGGTTTTTGAACGTTTGAAACGGACCGGCAAATGGAGCATGTCATTTTTATTCTGCTTGAAATGCGTTCGTTCACAACGAATCAAAAGTTTTCAGCTGTTTTCATTTCCATCCATGTTAGCCATTCATCTCAACATAATATCCTGCTATCATTTTATAATATTTACAAGATGTCTGGAACGGCAGTACGTGCAAGAGTAAATTCATCAATTTCAAGAAGCAGCAATAGTGAAAAAAAGTTATTAAATATTTATATTAAATAATATATATATATATATATATATATATATATATATATACATATATAGTTATATATATAGTTTTGCACTCACAACGTCAGATACGTTCAAAGATTTATTTCAAATTCTGATCAATTCGCCAAACGCCGAAATTTTATATTTTAAAATTTGTTTCTTTCTGCACGTTTTAATCTTAGTCATAGTAGCATTGTTATTATTTATAGCATCGTTATCAAAAGTATCAACATCATTAGCAACTGCAACTTTGTTACCTTCCAGATAAATTTCTTTCCTAATTGCACCAGCAAGACTCAGTAACATGTCTGACTGGCTGCTAATTAAACAACATTGCCTTCATCGTATGGACATTCATAGCCGAGATGCGAGGTGATGTAAGGAGATGTGAGATGATGAAAAAAGATGCGAGATGATGTAGGTTGATGTGAAATGATTCAGGTTGATGTCAGAGGATGTAGGTTAACGTAAGTTGATGTAAAGAGAGGTATGATGATGTAGGTAAAGGTTAGATGATGAAAAGTGATGTAGATTGATGTAAGGTGATGTAAGATGATATAGGTTGATGTAATATGATGTAAGGTTAGTGTTAGATAATGTAGGTTGATGTAAGGCGATGTAAGACAATGTAAGACGATGTAGGTTGGTGTAAGATGCCGTAGGTTAAAGTGAGACGATGTAAGACATGTGAGACATTCTTGTCCAAAATTTAAGACCGTT